ACCATCCTGTGGTGTTGGGTCCTCGTTTTGAACGGACGGTGCCCCGCGTTCCTATTCTCTTCTTCGTCCCCCTTCTCCCTTTGCCCATCATCGCCATCGTCATCATCATCATCACCATCATCATCATCATCATCATCATCATCATCGTCATCATCATCGCCATCTTTGATTTCGGCACCGCCAAATTTGGGCACATCCCTCACACGCTTCGTGGCCCCAGCGGGAGCTCCACCTAAGGTCCCAGTGGCGGAACTCCCATGGCGGCCTCGGGCCATTTCGGCACACCCCTCACGAGGATCGTGGCCCCTTCGGGAGTTCCACCTGAGGTCCCAGCGGCGGAACTCGCATGGCGGCCTCGGGCAATTTACCACACCCCATCACGAGGATCATTTCGGCACACCCCTCACGAGGTTCGTGGCCCCTTCGGGAGCTCCACCAAGGGTCCCACTGGCGAAACTCGCATGGCGGCCTCGGGCCATTTCGGCACACCTCACGAGGATCGTGGCCCCAAGAGGAGCTCCACCGAAGGCCCCAGTGGCAGGGTTCGCATGGCGGCCTTGGGCCATTCCGGCGCCCCTCTCACGAGGATCTTGGCCGAGCTCCATCGAAGGCGCCAGTGGCAGGATTCGCATGGCGGCCTCGGGCCATTTCGGCGCACCCCATCACAACGATCGTGGCCCCATAGGGAGCTCCACCGAAGGCCCCAGCGGCAGGGTTCGCATAGCGGCCTCGGGCCATTTCGGCACACCGCATCACGAGGATTGTGGCCCATAAGGAGCTCCACCGAAGGCACCAGTGGCAGCTTCCCTCATGGCGCTCAGAGCCCTCTCCTGGTCCTGCTCCTCGGCCACGGGGGCGCCGTCCTCGTCGTCGTCGGCGCCCGCGAAGACGGCCGCGAACGTGTCCCTGAGCATGTCGGGCCCCGGCGGGAAGCCGTGGCCATATATGGAGCGTGGGCGAAGATGGCATCCACAATTGTTGTATTCACAATTGCTTACGGCTTGGTCTTTCGCCAGGCTAATTTTTCCCAACCATCCTGTGGTGTTGGGTCCTCGTTTTAAAAGACAGTACCTCGCGTTCCTCGTCTCCTCCTCCTCTCCCTCCTTGCCTCTGCTCTCCGCATGTATCTCTGTCGGTGCACCCCTCACACGTTTCGTGGCCCCATAGGGAGCTCCAACGAAGGCGCCAGTGGCGGAACTCGCATGGCGGCCTCGGGCCATTTCGGCACACCCCTCACACGTTTCGTGGCCCCTTCGGGAGCTCCACCTAAGGTGCCAGCGGCGGAGCTCGCATGGCGGCCTCGGGTCCTTTTTGGCACACCCTTCACACGCTTCGTGGCCCCATAGGGAGCTCCAGCTAAGGTCCCAGTGGCGAAAGTCGCATGGCGGCCGCGGGCCATTTCGGCACACCCCTCGCACGTTTCGTGGCCCTATAGGGAGCTCCACCTAAGGCCCCAGTGGCGGAACTCGCATGACGGCCTCTGGTTATTTCGGCACACCCATCACGATGATCGTGGCCCCAGAGGGAACGCCACCGAAGGCCCCAGCGGCAGCGTTCGCATAGCGGCCTCTGGTTATTTCGGCACACCCTTCACGAGGATCACGACCCCATAGGGAGCTTCACCGAAGGCCCAAGTGGCAGGGTTCGCATGGCGGCCTCGGGCGATTTCGGCGCACCTCTCGCGAGGATCGTGGCCGAGCTCCACCGAAGGCGCCAGTGGCAGGGTTCGCATGGCGGCTTCGGGCCATTTCGGCAACCTCTCACGAGGATCGTGGCCCCATGCGGAGGTCCACCGAAGGCCCAAGCGGCAAGGTTCGCATGGCGGCCTCGGGCCATTACGGCACACCCCTGACGAACATCGTGGCTTCATGGGAGTTCCACCGAAGGCCCCAGTGGCAGGGTTCGCACGTCGGCCTCGGGCCATTGTCGGCACACCACATCACGAGGATCGTGGCCCCATAGGGAGCTCCACCGAAGGTCCCAGCGGCAAGGTTCGCATAGCGGCCTCGGGCCATTTCGGCACCCCCGTCACGAGGATCGTGGCCCCATAGGAGCTTCACCGAAGGCGCCAGTGGCAGCTTCCTTCATGGCTCTCAGGGCCCTCTCCTGCTTCTGCTCCTCGGCCAGGGCGGGCGCCGTCTTCGTCGTCGTCGGCGCCCGCGAAGACGGCCGCGAACGTGTCCCTGAGCAGGTCGGGCTCCGGCGGGGAGCCGTGGCCACATATAGAGCGTGGGCGAAGATGCTATTCAAATTGCGGTATTAAAAACTGCGTATGGTTGAGTCTTTCGCCAGGCTAATTGTTTGACATGTTTAGTTTTTCGTTTACAACCCGCCTGTGGGAGGACATGACCGACCTGAATGCAGTTCCGGGGACCAACGTGCCGCGTGGGCAGGCAGTGAGGATCCACTGGCAAACGTGCAGGCCCCGCCACGGCGGGGGGGAGCAGTTGGGTAGCGCACGTGGCAGGGGGGCCCCATTGTCAATTTGCTCCTTTGGGGGCAGGTCTGGGCGGCCAAGGAAGTCCGTCTCGATTTGACAGCGGGGGCCCACCGTCACACGGACCATCGGGGTGGCAGGCCGAGGCGCGGGCGTCGAGCTCCGATTGCCCATCTGCCAGTCGGGGTCCATTGTCAATCGGGGGGGGCGAGTCGCGGGAATTGAGTTCCGATTGCCTGTTTGACCGTAGGGGGCCACATTCAGATGTGAGCAATTTTGGGGGTTAGGCCGAGGCGGGCGACATGAGTTCCGATCGCCCAATTGGCAAAGGGAATCCCGTTATCAAATGGGTCATCGGGGTACCCGATTGCTAATTTTATAATGTGATCCCCACTGCCAAACAGGGAGTCGAACAGGTAACTGTTGCCGATTGCCCGTTTGACTGTATGGATCCCAATATCAGCGGGCAAGTTCGCCCCCAACCCCCAGCCCCTGTCTGGGGGGGACTGGGGGGATAATCTCACACGCCCTGATGACTCCAAAGGGGTCGACGTACTCCGCGACTCACCAAAAACCCGCTGCAATCCACCAGAAGGCCTGGTACCACGCGCTCAGGGCACTTCTCCTTGGGTATTTCGGTCTTGTGGATTTGTGCAAAGCCTATTGACAATGACTGCAGAGCCGGCTAGAACCTAAGCGCGCGCGTGGTTATGTGTGTGCATATATATATATATATATATATATATATATATATATATATATAGATTGCGAAGGCCTTACGGCCGATGCCGCCGACCCTGAAGGGGGACGATGAACGACGATGACGACGACGACGACGACGGCGACGGCGACGACGATCGCGAGTCCTTGTTGGGGCCTTCCCGGGCCCTCTTGGGCTGTCATAGGGCGCCTTCGGGCCGTCTTGGGGCCTTCCCGGGCCATCCTGGCGTGTACTTGGGCCGTTCTGGGGAGCTCTTGGAGGCAACTGGGGCCGACGTGGAGTGTATGAAGCCTGGAAGTCGAGCAGGCGAAAAAACACGGGCGATTTCGGGACCTCCTGGTAGCCTCTTGGAGTGGGGAGCTTGACATGTGGGTTGGTTTTCCCTCTCTTCGGCCTCTCTTGGGGTGTTCCTGGGGCTCTCTTGGGCGTTCTCGGTCGGAGAAGGGGGAGGGGGGGTCACGATTCGCAGGACGCTTCCAGGGACCCCGCGGGATCTTCTCCTCCCTCTCACCCTCCCCCGGGATCTCCCCTCTCTCGTGGGGAAGGGATTACAGGAACGGGGTCCCCTTCGAGTCGATGAATTACGCTGTTGTTCGTTTCTCCTCTGGCTGGAGCGTTTGAGGAGGTGGGGCGAGGGAAAGGGGGGGGGTTCTGGGAGGCTCATGCAGGTTTCAAGGTGGTGCGGGGGAAAAAACGACGAAGAGCGAGGGGGAAACAGAGAAGGAGGAGGAGGAGGAGGAGGAGGAGGAGGAGGAGGCAGAGGAGGAAGAGGAGGAGGATCGAGGATCGGGGTTCGAGTCGATGTTTCATTTTTCATTGTCTTTTTTGGGGGGGCTCTCTGGAAGCCTCCGAGGATTTCTGGGGACGTCCTGGAGGCGTCTTGGGCCGTCTTGGGGCCCTCTTTGGCTGTTAGGGGACGCTTTTGGGCGCCTCTTGGGGTGTCTCGGGGCGATATTGGGGGCCTCCTAGGCCGTCTTGGCGCGTTGGCAAACGTCAGAGGCAAGAGCGCTAGAATCCTGCGAAAACGGATGGAAAATCTACGATGTTTGCCTGTTGGGGCTCTCGTGGGAAAGCTCCTGGATGCCTCTTGGGGCGTCTTGCAGGCCTCTTGGGCCGTCTGGAAGCCGTGAAGGCGTCTTGGACAGATCGTCAGGCGAGTCGGGGTTCTCGTGGACTGTCTGTGGGGCATATGAGACCACATTTGGCCTCTTTGGAACTCTTTTGAGCTCCGGGAATCCCCGGGAGAGCGTCGTATCTGACCCCCCCCCTGCAGGACCCCCCCCCGGGACCCCCCCCAGGACCCCCCTACCCCCCTCCACCCAGCGGGGGAGGGATCCAACGCCTGGGAAAGGAGGGGAAGACGACGACAGCCACAACGACAAACGAATGACGGGCTGAGGCGGTCCCTGGGAAAGGGGGGGAAGAGGACGACAGAGACGACGACAAACGAATGACGGAGATGACGACTCGAACGGACGAAGCCCCTCACACACGCCGACAGGGTCGGCGGTCGACAGGGTCAGCTTCAGGCAGGTCGATCGGGTTTGCTAGGTTGTGATTCCATGCGCCATTGTTGTACAGCACCATTCCTATCCTCGAGGAATAGTTATATATATATATATATATATATATAATTTGTGTATACATATGTATAGCTTTTTTTGTTAAAAAAAAAATCCGTATATATATGTATATATATATATGCATACATACGTGTGTATGTGCACATGCAGACATGTCCCCGCAAGTTTGACAAGCCGGCGTTCTGCAGTGTGCCCGACGGCGGTTGCCTTTTTTCCTTGGGTGCGCATGGGATGGGCGCCAGGGGGCCCGATTCCGCAGGCCGGTTGTGCAGGGCGATACTGAAGGACTTCAGGGCCGCCGGTGCTGTCAGGGACCGCTGGCCCAACGAATCTGTCCTCCTGAGAGCGAGTCGTGCTTGCTTAGTCCCATACTGGCTTGGTCTCTACGCTCTACGCAGCTAGGGGACTCCTGGGATTTTCACAGCGGGTGGGCCGTGACCACTATTTCCGAGACATCCGTTTTGATTTACAGGATCTTCCACAGCCAGTGTACTTCGAATCTGCGCGTATCCACACACACACACACCCCAGTCAGCATTCTACGGGTCAGTCGGTAGCCTGGTTGGCATGATTTCAATAGACATTATCGTTTCATGAAATTCGAGTTGTTCATGTTAGTGACTAGCTGGGCTCAGCGCCTCAGGCTCTCATGAAAGAAACATGACGAAGGACAGCACATTCCTACACGCCGGTTCACCTCTGGCTGGCGGAGGCCGGCAGATCTCGGAAGAAGAATCCATCATGGCTTATGAGGGCACACTTGCCATGGATGTCCGAAGTGTTCTACGGCAGTCTCCGAAGGGGCAGGGATCGAAACTTGCAATTTCTGTTGGCCAGAAGGTAGGCGGTGAAAGGGTGGGGAGACGCGGTTTGCAGCATGATGGCCCGCACAAGGCGGCTGCAATGTTTCTCTTTCGTACATTTCTAGTTTCGTACATCCTTCTAGCGTCCTTTCCTGTTTTTGTTGTTCGTTCTCTCTCTCTCTCTCTCTCTCCTGTTTCTCTCTTGACGTTTGTTTTGTTGTTCTCTCTTTCTCTCTCTGTTTCCTTGTCTCTGTCTTTCTTTCTCCCTATCGCTCTCTCTCTCTGTACATATAGATGTATGTGTATGTATACATATCAGTATACCTCTTCCTTTCACAGTCCACCACGCTCTCATTCTCTTGCTCGATGTGCATGTATACATATGTTTGTATGTAGACCCTCCTGTTACTTTGTCTTGTCCGATATGTTCTTCTTTCACTCATACCCTCCTCACGATAGCCAGTCTGTTTTTGAGATCCCCCTCGGCTACCCCAACCCATCGAGCCGACCTAGTTTCTGTGGTCTTCGCGCGCGCCAATGTCATTCAGCGACTCTGGCCTGAACGCTGCATTGCTGCCTCCGCGCTGCAGGACTTGGGCAAGTGCACGGAGCTTCCGAAGGAGGAGGCTTTCGGCCGATGTTTGGCTTCCTGATCCGTTGCGTTGTTATCTCTGCTCGGTTTGACCTGGGGCAGTACTGCCACCAGCCCACTTCGTCTACGCTTGAGGCTACGGGGTCCTGGTTCATTGGCTGCCTTGCCTGTCCTCATTTGGTTCGTCTGATGGAGGGGGGGGCGTGTGGAGAACATGCACCGCGTGTCGAGGTCTGCGAGTCAGCGCATTTTTGCCCAACCCGCCATCGCCCCATTTCAATTCTGCACGGGTCAGCGCGTTTAAATCAATCCTTCGGTCACGTCGGCTCGTCAATTGGGTGATCCTCAATCCTTTCCCTGCGCTTGCCGGACCTCGGGAAGTGCCTGCCCAGGCGCCACATGCATCAGAAGGTTCCTTTGGAATCATGTGATCTTGCGCAGCGGAACACTTAGCACACATTCAGAACAGGCCAGCTTTCATGTGTCTGCGGAACAAGGATACATTCAAACCAATTGCGACAACACGCGGAAAGCAGAGGAGTGAATCAGCATGGGACCGCGCACACACGCACACCAATCGCGATTTTGCAAACAATGAGTATTTGATACGGTGGCAGTGCGGGAAACAAATAGGCAACGCGCACACCACATGTTCAGCTCAGAGTCAAGCGACATCAACCGCACGATAACACAAATGGCAGGGGCCCTAACTACAGCACGCAAACCATACGATGCGGCTGCGCAAGCACTCGCGCCACGAAGCACATGTAAAGACAACAGCAGCAACAGGTAGTGCAGGCAATACCTGAACGCATGGCATGGAACGCCAGCGCGGCACGCGCAGCACAATTACTAATTCATCGCATGCACATCAGAAGTACGGACGGCAACGTTTCTTTTCGTCTATCTACCGGACGTCGTCCTGTTTCTTGATTGAGTCATGGACAAGGGATTCTTAGACGCCCCTGAAGGACCCTCTTGGGGCCATCTTGGAGGCCTCGTGGGATCTCTTACGGAGGGCCTCTTTGGGTGCCTACTGGCTGTAATTCAGGTCGCTTCGCTGCGGTCTACTGTGCTCCTGCTCTGTCCTTGCTGATGCTTCTGCCCCCTCCCCCCCTCTCCCCAAACTCCCCGCGGGCGTTTGGCTTTTGGGTCCCTTGGCTGATTGAGCTACGTGCAGGACCCGCGGTCCCAGCAAAGACCATCATCAACGATGATCTTCAAATATCGCAGTGGCAGATTGGAGCGAGGTTCGCTACCTTGGCCTGAGGGCCATCCATGTTGCCGAGACGACGTCCGCGACTTGGCTTTCCATACTGGAGAGTCGAAGCCCAGCGGCTTCGTGCTGCTCATCGGCAGCACTGCCAACGTCAGCGACGCTAGCTGCATCAATTGCCTCTCCGCCAACGTATGTGACGTCGGCATCTACGCCCACCACCTCCCCGCGAACGTCCGCGACGCCAGCAATTACGCCCATGCGTCTTTGATAGCGCCTGCGACGCCGACGACTATGCCTACTCCCTGTCCGACAGCGGCTGCGATGCCAGCGCCTACGTCGATTGCCTCTCCGGCAGCGTCTGCGACGCCAGTACCTACGCCAACTTCTGTGCGCCAGCGTCTGCGACGCCAGCGCCTACGCCTACAGTTTTTCCAACGGCGTCCGCGGCGCCAACATCTCCTGCCTCCTAAGGAACGTCAGCGACGTCAGCCATATATGATTCCAACGTCACGCCCCGCTGAGCGCCCTCTGCTGGGCCTTCCTGCCCAAGTCCGGCTCCGTCGCCGCCATGCCCGTCGAGCTCTCGAGCTCACGGGCAATACTGCTCCTGGCCCAGACGGCATCCCCTTCAAGGTGTGGCGCCTCTTCGACGATTTCGCAGTGGATTTATTATTCGATGCGTTCGACGGGCTCCTCGACGACGACGGTTTGGATGAGCTCGCCTCCCTTGGGCTCGAGTTCAACGAGAGCCTGTTGCACCTCCTGCCGAAGAAGGCGGTGGGCGCCACGGACGAGGGCGTCGCGGTGTACAGTGCGAGTGCCACTCGGCCGCTGAATGTTGTCAACACAGACAACAGGATCCTCGCCAACGCGGTCCGGCTCATGCTGGAGCCCGCCCTGGCTCCCAGCACTTCCAAGGACCAGCGCGGATTCTTGCAAGGCAGGTCAATGCTTTCCAACACCATTGACATGGAGGAAACCACGTGCTTCGATGCGATCGATTGCCCAGACGTCCTCGCATTCTTTATGGACTTTGAGGCCGCGTTCCCCTTGGTGGGGCACGGTTTCCTGCTGGAGTTGTTTCGACTTGCGGGATGGCCCGAGTGGCTCTTCCGGTACATTCGCGTCTTCTACCACCAGAGCGTCTGCGCGATGCCCTTTCGCGGGGCGCTGTACGACGGTTTCGTGGCCACGCGGGGGTTAGGCATGGCTGCCCGCTCTCCCCTTTGCTCCTCGCTGCCGCGTCCGACCTCCCCCTCGAGCGGATTCGCCGTCTCCGCTGGTCTCTGCGCCGCGCGTGCGCGGATGACGCAGCGGTGCTCCTGCACGGCGGGCTCGACGCAGTCCCCGTCTTGGCGTCCATATTCGAAGATTTCGGCCAGATTTCGAGCCTCCGGCTGAATATTGCGAAGACGCTAGTTGTCCCAGTCGCAGATTGCGACCCGGTGGAGCTGCGATCCGCCATAGCGGCGCTGGTTCCCGGGTGGGGCCAGCTCGGGATCGCGTCGCATGCGAGGTATTTTGGGTGTGAGGTTGGGCCAGGCCGAGGGACACGCTCATGGGGCGCACCGCTGAAGAAATTCCAGGAACGCGGAGAGCTGCGGAAGTCCATCGGCGCAGGCCTATACTTGACGGCCGCGGCCTACCGCACCTATGTCCTCAGCGTGCTTCTTTTCGTGGTTCAGCTTGAGCGGGTTCCTGAGCAGGCTCTTCAACTGGAGGCCCAGGTGCAGCTTCGCCTGGTCCCGGGTCCGGAGGACTGGATGTCTGCGCCAGCCTTGCAATCCCTCAAAGACCTCGGGCATAATTTCGAGTTCGCCTCCCTGGACTCCTGCGCCGTGGCCGCGGCAGCTCGGACTTTTCTGTGCGAGGACAGACAGCGCGGTGGCCTTCGAGTGCGTGACTGGGCGCGCCGATTACTCGAACGACTACATTCGTCAGACAACGTTTCTCTACAGACTGTATCGCGGATCCGTTCATGCCCCCTCTTCCGGCTATTGGAGGCGGCGGGCGCCGTCGAGGCGGCGGAGCGGGCGCGCGACCTCGACTCGTCTTTGCTGGGCGCGGACCCGATGGGCGACGAGGGCAGGAAAGCATGGCAGCGCCGGGCGCTAATGACCCTGAGGCCTTCGGGCAGCCCTGCCCGCGCTCACGCCCAGGTCAAATAAGCCAGGTGGTCCGTTGATCTCTTCCCACGGCTCCGGGCCGACCGGCTGAGCGCAGCCTACCAGTTGCTGGCGCGTCGGGCCCCTCCCCGATTGCGCGCCGCTTTCGTCCGCGCGGCTTTCAACGGGCTGTGCGCGGCGCGGCGCTTTCATGGCTTGGCGGATTGCCTGCTCGGCTGCGGCCGCGGAGAGGATCCCATTGAGCACTGCGCCTTCTGTGTCTCCTACCACTCGTTCTGCTCGCGCCGCGCCGGCCCGGCACGGCCAGCGCCTGCGAACAGACTGGCGCGCCCCCTGAACCTCGGGCCTTCCCGCCGCCCCAGCGCGGCGAGAATGGCGCGGAAGAGGCGATTCTTTCACGGGCGCTCGCAGCGTTCGCGGCGCGCAGAGTTCATGGGGAGGCCCCCTGCGGCGCCGCGCGCGCCGCGGCTGTAGCGGCCGCCCTTCCCGGCCCGCTGCGCGAAGGCGCCCGAGGCTATCCAGCTTTAGAGTCCCTGCTGCGCCCCGCCCAGCGGCGGCCGCGGGTTTCGCGGCCCCCCCTCCCCCCCCCCCCCTCCCCTTCGCCGACGTGCGTTTCATCCGCGACGTGATCATATTCACATCTGAGTTAGCTGATTCACCATATCTCGTCGCGAAGTGCACTATGCGCATGGAGCCAGCCCACTCGGTTTCAGGTTTTCGGGCTCAGGCGAACAACCGCCCAAAGATCCGCTTCGAGTTGCGGCCGCGTTTGCAGGGCGCGCGATCTGTCGGCGACGGCGGCTTCTTTCTCTAGGCAGATGTTGGGCAACCACGCGCTACGCTACGTTGCGAATTCGGTTTTCTGCCCCCGTCATCGCCCCCCTCTCTTCTCCTCCTCCCGCTGGTGCTTATTTATGCATGGCATGGGCCAGGGTTTTAAGCGGCCTATGTGCGCGACAGCCGTTCTTGGCAACCGCGCTGCCCACTCTCCCTCCTCGTCTTCCTTTCTGTCCTTGTCCTCGTCCCTTTCTCTTCTCCTTCTCCCGCCAGTTTTTTTTCGCGTCTGGCATGGGCCAGGGTTTTAAGCGGCCTGTGTGCGTGACAGCCGTTCTTGGCAGACGCGCTGCCCACTCTCCCTTCTCGTCTTCCTTTCTGTCCTTGTCCTCGCCCCTTTCTCTTCTCCTTCTCCCGCCGGTGCTTTTTTTATTTCTGGGATGCTGTTGCCGTTGATGGCGCTGCCGGTCAGGCTCCGCCGCGCCTCGCCAAGGAGTGCGCGTGTTACTCGAGCGCGGTCGCGACCGCCCCCCGCTCACCCCCACTTCTTCTCCCCGAATATTGTGTGGATATATATATATATATATATATATATATATATATATATGCATACATACGATTCCAGCGTTGGCGACGCCGGCCAGATCTACTGCAGTTTCTTCAGCGCGACATCCAGCGACGTCGGCGATGACAGCGGCTTCAGTCGCATTGCCAACTCAACGGGCGATGACAGAACGACCGAGCCATTCAAGCGGCGCGGCTACAAACACACAGGCAGGAGGTCAGCTTGTGGAAGCCCAACGAGAATTGATAATTTTCTAGATGCCCGTTTCCCAAGGTCTTGAGGCGGGCGAACGCCGCTGGAGCGGCGGCGCTCCACGCGCGGCGGTGGCGGCGGCGGTGGCGGTGGAGGCG